GGTTGCACCTTCTTCCTTCCAGTGGGCTGCATTTGGTTGATAACGCCACAAATCCCTGACCGTTTCTGAGCTTGGAGCCTTGTTCAACAATATGTTTGACAACGTGCCAGCAAATGGTTATGTGGGTGTTTGATTTTTAGGCAGCTACTCTGATTTTGGTCCAAACCAAAAATGGGGAGAAACATCATTTAATTGCCTTTTAGGCGTGTGTTTAGATCACAGAAGTGACACATTTGTGAATGCTGGATTTTGTACAATATAGCAAGCGGTCAAATCTCATTAACTGGTATTAATTGGGATCAGCATTATATGTTGAATGTCTTTAGTTTCTGTGTTAAATGTGGGAACTTTAAGAAAYCATAGGAAAGGGAGTAAAATATTAGTTACCAGATTAGCAAATTCTTGCCTAAAACACACGATGAAATGAGAAGCATATCTAACATTTTTCTTCTCAAAACAATGATGGTCAATTCTCTCCTTTCCAGCCTCACTGTATCTCTCTCGGGTGGCTCACTTCTCTCTTGTGCATCAGCAGCAACCAGCTTTTGTCCCTGAAACTGACTGTTAAGTTATCTTGTAGGCTCTAGGCTTTCCTGGAAGGCACCAATAAAAAAATAAAAGAAAAAAAGCTGCTGTGTGTGCAGTTTTTTGAGCCAACAAGTCTGAGGAAGACCAAGTTTTTATTTTTTGGGTCACATCCCTGCCAAAAATCCATCTATCAGCATTTGTACACAAGCAGAACATGTCCAAAAGATGAGAAAAAAATATATATATTTGAGATGGAATCTTGGAGAAGTGAAATGATTCACAAAGCAAAAACTTGACAGAACTAAGTTTTTCTTTTTTCTCTTGATAATTTGACTCGTTTTTTGCAGGTCGTGGGTTCTGGGAGCATTTGCTTTGCTTTGTCTTTCGGGACTGACATGGTCCTTTGGCTTGTTCTTCATCAATGAATCGTCCATTGTGATGGCATATCTCTTTACCATATTCAACACTCTGCAAGGGATGTTCATCTTCATCTTCCACTGCCTGCTTCAGAAAAAAGTAAGATTTTGTATTTTGGGGATTATTATGATGCTAAAAATCATTCAAACAGGAAGCAAAATTGTCAAATATTGATTGCAACTTTAGGTTTTCCTTAAAGGTACTTAATGCAATGTCATGAATAAAAGTAAGAAACCAAAGTGACACTTTTTTATCCTCTCATTTTTAAAGTTATGGCTTTCTTAAAGTAAAAGAAAAACGTTAGCAGCAGCTTCAATCTTGCATTTCTACCTAAATATTGTTTTGTACAATTCCTCCCCATTTGTTTACAGACACAGACTAATATGGGTGATGTGACTCAAGTTTCTCTGTAGGTTTTGGTGGATTCTGCTGATTTCGTTCTTTACATTGAATGTGTACCTTCATTTTGGAATTGCTTATTAATATATTTAGAAAAACCTCAGGCGTWAACTCATTCAGACTGCAGATACAATATGTTTTTTTTTTGGTTTGTTTTAGGACTGCTAAGTTGACAAAGTGAAACCTTCTTTCCTTATTATTATTTTTTCAATTGGAGTGATAGTAAAGCTTGTGCATATATAAAATAATTTCATTATTTTATATTTTGATAAGTACGTTTTAAGCACAAATTGTTATTTATCTCTCAAGTTTGAATTTTTTTATTTACAAGATGGTAACATGTGTGACAGGATGTGACTAAATTTGTTCATTTAGATCAGGAATGGGRAACTAAAATGATGGAAGGGGCCACAATTCAGGTGCAATGGCAGACCCCTTGAGTGCAGACTCCTGCGTGATTGTGGTTCTAGTAAAAAGTTGCTCATGATTTTGTACTTGCGACTTCAGTGTACATCTCATATGTTGTAGTGGTGACCTTCATGGCAAAAAGTGTCTCGAAGCAGACTAAACACATAGGTTTGCCTTGAAATTCTGTGAACAGATAGTCTACCTTCTCAAAAACCATTAATTATGTGTTTTACTTTAAAAATGCACTCACTCATTCACTCATTGACGGACCGGACGGAAGTCACCTGCAAGCCAGATGTGGCCCGTGGGCCGCCAGTTGCCCATTCCTCATTTTAATTAAAAAAAACTGATATAACACAACATACAGTAGAGCTATTTATTTATATTTGCAGCTAAACCTTTTGGCACACTTTCCAACCAAAAAATGTAATTTTCCTTTCTAAATCCAAGCTGTAAAACATCATTAACATTGCAATGTATTTTTAATTCTGTTATTAGCAAAATGTAAGTCAGAGTGTGCTGTAATATGCCAATATGTGGCACGCCGTCTGTTTTATTCCCGGTTCTCGCAGGTATGGCATTTAAGCTGCTGTCAGCTGGCTGGCATTTGATAAAGATTTAGGATTTGCGGCTCTCCTGAGGTGGAGAGGGGGTGGTGGGAGAGGATGTGCCACAGTTTGTGCCTGAGTGTGTTGAGTTTGTCCTAATCTTTCGCCTCTCTGCAGGTCCGGAAAGAGTACAGCAAATGTTTCCATCAGTCCCAGTGTTGTGGTGCACTCCCATCTGAGAGCTCCCACAGCTCAGCCAAGGCATCCACGTCTCGATCCACAGCCCGCTACTCWTCTGCTACTCAGGTACGCCAGCGGGAATCAAACGAGGATTTAGAGTTCAAGGAAAAAGTGAAAGTTCTTAGCAAGAATTTTTTTTTACTTCGTTGAAGAACAAGTTTGGTTAAACTACCTATTTTTTTATTATCAACATACACTAAAGGTTAGTCTGCAATATTTTTCCGTTCAAAAATGTAATATGTAAAATGCAATAATTTAAAGGTTTATGTACTTTAGTTGGCTTTATACTCATAACAGCACAGAGAAACTGCCTTGGAAACAAAATGGAAAGAGATTAGTGATGGTTTAAAACTTTTGCTCAGTGCTGTATATCAACTTTTGAGAACCAGAGTATATGAAAAAAATAAGCCTGGAGAACATTAAAGCCTAGAGAATTAAAAAAAATATAAATCAGCGCTGTCCAATGGAATCCATTTTTCCACTTTATGATTTTATTTTATTTTCTCATCATTCAGTTTTGCAGCTCCACCTCACATCTGTAAGTGTGTTTTACAAATATTCAAGCATTGCAAGTATTAACAAGAACGTCCATTTATCTGCCGAGCCCCATCACCTTGCTTCATTTAGCTTGAATAAACGCTGCACTCAGGAAAGCAAGTTTTTAAGCAGCAGAAAAATGTTGTTTTTCATCGCCACATTTATTGACATTTTTTTGGGTTGGCATCCGTGTGCATTTGAAATGCTGAAGGGAAAACACTGCACATGCTTCTTCAAATTTGTGAGGTCTATCTAAGGAGCACCACCAGGGACTTAGTGGCTGCTTCTGCTCCGACTGCCGAGAAAGAAAAAGAAAAAAGCAGCTTAGGGCCGATCTCTCAAATTACAACCCGTAAGATCCTCAGTGCCTCCGTTTTAGGTAGCAGTGGAATCAATAGCACATACAGAGCTTTGTCGTGCAAACATGTCATCAGCTAGCGAGCCAATTAAATCTTCATTTGTGTCATCTGTGGTTTGTATCACAAAACCACTCAGCTACTCATTCCTGGGGACCAGAAAGCCTTGGAAACACAAGGGCACCAATCTGAGCACTAATCAGTGGCTGTTTTTTGTTCCTCTCTCAACACAGAGCCGTATCAGGCGGATGTGGAACGACACTGTGAGAAAGCAGTCGGAGTCCTCCTTCATCTCAGGCGACATAAACAGCACCTCCACACTCAACCAGGGTAAGCAGCTCCGGTTCTCCATCATCATCATCACCACCACCAGAGGAAGACTCACGTCTGTTTGTGAGGAAGTTCGGAATGCACGATAAAACACTTAACTGCCGAGAATAGTCGAAGATAAGACCTGATTTCATGCTGCATTTCTCTTAGCGATCGGCAATCAGCCGCGTCAAACGCTTCTAAGTTCGCAGATTTCCTCGCACGCCCCTGTTTGCTTGGACCATCTGAGCGGAGATAAACAGAGAGAGAGAGAGAGAAAGATAAGAGGCGTGATAGCTAGTGAGGTGTAAAATGTTACAGATGAGGGCTTGAGTTTTGGTAATGACACCGATTGGAGAGACCCGAGTGTTGCGGCAGCCGTTTTCATCGCTTTCGTCCCAAAACCAAGTCTCGAGGTGAAAGAAGAGGGATGGAGACGAGCAAAGTCAGGTGTAGGTCGGAACAGGTTTTGGGCTGGATCCCAGCGCCGTGAAGCTCAGGGTTTGGACTGTGCCAGGACAGATTTGGCTGTAGTTCTGAGCCAGCTAAGAGCTTTTTTTTATTTATATATATTTTTCCTTCTTTTTTTTAGAGAGCCCTGCCAGTGCAGAGTTTCTTCACTATCCGTCTAAATAACTTTGGATGTGTTATTACATTCTCGAGGGCTTACACAAGTATGCTGAGGTTGATGGGGGGGGGATACTGTGTTATTTGTGGCAGGCCGCTCCGATATGTTTTGTCTACTGTCTTCACTGGATGAGTTTGTTTTGATGAATTTGTTTCGCATAAACACTGCAGCTGATTGTGTTGCTATGCTTTGGTCAACACTCGTCGCTTTAACACTGTTTGTCAGTTACATCAGCAGAATGTTTGAGCTGCGGCTCGCTTTGACCAGTGTTTCTACGACGGCTTTGTCTACGATAGGAGGCAGATGGAGCAGAGGTCTTTTGTAGTGTCAGATCCGAGACAGCAAATATCAACGTTTGTTTATGTCCAAAGCCTTCCCAGCACACCGCCTGGACCACAAAACACAGAGCCCTGAGCATCTTGTCCTTCTCGCTGTTTCTCACCTCCTAATCTTTTTTTTCCCCTCTGTCTCTCTTCCTGTTGTTCCAGGGATGACTGGCAACTACCTCCTAACTAACCCCCTCCTCCGAACCCACGACACTAACCCTTATAACAACCTGCTGGCAGAAACGGTGGTGTGCAACACCCCCTCTCCACCGGCTTTTCACTCCCCAGGTGCACATCCGCCCTCCACCTTTGTCTTTTTTTTATTTTCTTGCACAGATCTGTGATTGTTTTAAAGTGCACATGCAGCATTTTGAGAAATGCACATGTCTACTGTTTAAAAGACCGATTGAAAGCCCTCTCATGTCTCTTCTGTTGGACATAAAGCTACCACCAAAGGGTTGGCTTAGATTTAGAAGGAAGGGTGAAAACAGACAGAAACAGCTAGCTGCGATAAAAACAATACACACCTACAGTACCAGCACTCTTAAAACCTCAATAATTAGCAACTTGTTTGTGTAAAAACAACAGGTTTCGGTGGTTTAACAGCAAACGGTGATGCCGGGCTATGCCGCCTCGGTGACGAAATCCYCCCATCAGCCCCCTGAAAGCACCCTAATTAACACTTTATATCTCATTTGTTTAAGCTGCACAAAAACAACAATTTGCCATTTTGGGGTGGGTTATCTGCCAGTCTTGGGATCTGAGCAGTTCCCAGGCAACGGGCAGACAAAGAAAGTTGCTGGTCTTTGCCAAGAAATGTTTCAGCACTTGATCCAACACAAACAGGGAATTGTCACATTTACACATAAGCACGATTAATAAAACAAACCTGGTATGGAGTGTTAATTAACGAGCCTTAAAGGCAGCTGCAGCTGGATTGTGTTGTGCTTCGACTCAGCCGAGGTGACAGTTTGCCTTTAGTCTTTGTGCTATTTTAAGATAAGATAACTCTGATCTGGCTGCAGCTTCGTGTTCAACAGATGTATGCTGAGAGTGGTGTCTGTCTCCTCGTCTACCTCCAACCCTGAAAGCAAATCCTTCTCAAAGTGTTGAACTATTACATCAAGTATGTTCGATTTCCTTTTTTTTTCCAATAATGAAAACTCTCGAGATTGTGGTTGTGACGTGGAATGAGTGAAAATGTTCAAACTACTCAAGATTTCCCCTTCTGTTATGTTTTTCACTGACATCTTTGTTGCGTTCAAGTTCTTATCCGCGCTCTGAAAGAGAGAAAATGATTTTTTTATCTAGTCTATTTGAAAACCAAGTGGGAATTCCCTAACCTCTGCTTATTAGTTCAAATCATTTATCACAGTATGAAATCTTTACGTTCACTCAGGATTATACAGTTTGAACAGCACCAGTGTTTAATGTGACCTAGTTCCTTACTTGCAGAGAAGAAGAAAAAAAAAAGAACCCCAATCAAAGGAGCAACAGAAGCACATGACGCAATGCGGGCAGACTTGCAGACCTGTTATTCACAGGCATTTGATGATAAAAGGGAATGCGCAACGTGGCAGGATGGCAAAAGTGTGCATGGAACGAATACGCCGATTAACCTGCTTCGGTGTGTGTTGTTTTGCGCTGGGAGCTGGCTTACAGCGCGATGCGAGCGCTTCGCACTCGGAGATAATGAAGCAGGGCAGGGACCAAACAACGTCTGCGTAGAAAAATCAAACACATTTTTTATGTATTTCTGTTCTTTCTGGGGACAGTTCACCTGCAGTCTAGTAGCTCTGATATGCAACTTTAGTGTGTGTTTTAAACCCTAAAATGTTTACCTGCCTAATCAGGGCTGAATACTTGCATTTTAACACCGGAGCACAGGAGACAAATAAAAAGAGGAAATATTCAATTAGCAGGGAACTCTCATAGTGAGCATAAACCTCTGCTTTACCTGTGCGAAACACTTTTTCTCCCTCCTGAGGCGGCTGTCTGGAGATGGGTGGGTTCAAACATCGGCACAACAGAGGAGAAACTTCATCTCCTTATTAAGCAGCAAACGCGGCGTCAAACAGGGATGACAAAAACAAGGATTTACCGTATGGAAAGTAGTTTGAGGGGAGCAGCGGCGTGACACACAAATGTCAAAACCTGGTGCGGAGATCACCAGCCAAGTTTCAAATACGTGTAGAGGAACTGTCAGGTATAACACAAGCTTATTCCGAGTTTTTTTTTTACCCCACTATAGTCATCACACTTAGTTCCTGCAAAAGGATGAGCCTGTCTTCTATTATGGGTGTATTAATACTAAGTAATATTCTGCAGATGTTCGTGCAATGCTAGAGAGTTGGAAAAGTGGGGGGAACATATTGGACGAATCTCTGCTGGAACGATTCCCGGAGTGCAGCTGTCGCCATGTCCAGTTGAATTCTGTTCACATCATTTCCCTCTTCTCCCAGTAGACAATACCTGTCTGCAATAAAACCACAGCCTGCGCATAAATAAAATGCAAATTTCTAAGTAGGCTCTATCCAGACATGTGTTTGATAATCCCTCTACTACCTCGCCTTCCTCTTTGCTTCTTATTTTTTTCTTTTTACTCTTGTTTGAATTATTTGTTTTTTTAGAACATTTTTCAGTTTTTGTCATCCTTTTTTTATGTTTGTTTTAAAGCTTACACTTTTCCCCTRGCCTAAACTTGCAACAACACTGCTCTCACTAAATCCTCTTCACTTCAAGCTAGTCCTTATCTCATTATGCTTGAGTTTCAAATTAGAGTAACCTGGTTTGCATACAGTATGTTTGTGTGTGTTTTGTTCATAGAAGTGATCGATTTTCACTCACTGGGGAACAAAAAAAAAATCACGTCTCAATTTCATTTGGGAATCTTTCTTTTTGCTTAAAAACATTTAAGAATCTGTGCTTGCTGCTGAACCTTTTCACCTTCGGAGTCCTGGATTCAGTTGTCTTTGAAGTGACATTTTGCTTTTAAATTATTAAACAAATCACCTAAAAGACAACGAACAAAAATTAGCTAAAAACGAAGAACTCAAGACAGATCAGCTGAATCCAGGCCGAATGTTACAAGCTTCTACTTTTGTCTTATTTGGGTGATTTTGTTGTTTCTGCTGCAATTGAAAAAGCATATGTTTTACTTTTTTTTTGCAAATCAGCTGTTCTTAGGCCAGATAGCCTGAGCAGACACACTTGATGTGAGTGGTGGCAAAGTGAGTCATTGCACGGTGCCTGTGTGTCGTGGTGTGTGGGGGCCGTTGCTGTGCTTGTGGGGCCCCAGAGCATAAAAGGTGGCTGGCCATCTGTGTTTGACATTACCCTGTTTTGTCTTTTTTTAGCAGGTGGAATGTTTTACTCATTGTTGATGTCGCAACGCTTCCTCATCAGCTTGTATTTCTATTTCTTTGTGTTGCATCCTTTGCTGTTTTATTTTATTTTTTTCTTACCGCTGTGTTCTTAACTGGTCATGAGCTATTTTGCAAATTCTGAAAGTGAAGTATATATATATA